ACATTTTAGGACATAATTGTTTTACATGTTTTATTTCCGAGTTGTGAAGGCCGAAGGCTGAATATGTAGTGCAGCAAAAACTGTAGGGATTAGGTCCCGCAGTGCGAAGTTATTCATCCTACACCATTTCAAGTACAACAAAAAATTGTGCATTCTGAACTGGACTTTCGCAGGGTCCCCTGGCCACGTTTCCCTCGCACAGTCTCATGGGCCCCACAGAAATGAAGGCCCTTACGTACGGAAAGTTTGGTTGTCATATTGCCCGTTACTTGCAACGTAATCTGGAGTGCCGTATTTGCAGCCTGTTTCAGCTTGCACATTGCTATTGTGTGCCATTGTTCTAGTAGCAACTTGCTCTTTTTTCTGTCTTGCTTTCCAGCATCAAATCCGTCAACAAATTCGCTATGTGTGGCCGCTCACTTTTTTTTTTGCGCTGTAGAGGCCAGGCTTGAAGAGAATTTGTTTCGGTATATCATGTGTGCTTCTGTTGACGTTACCTAATGACACACAGCATTCAACAAAGTAGATTTGTAGGTGGACAGGACCACGTTGTGTCTTTAGGTGTAAAGGTATGCCCGACGATGAGCTTTCAACTAGTTAGATGCTTATCACCATTATGACCAAATATGACAAGCTGTCAATGATAGTAAATCATTACTGCATGTTCGTACTTCATATTAGTGAAAGTAGAGCCCGAAATTGTTCATATCAAGTTAATCCTAAACTAGATACAAACATTCACTTTCAGTTCCGGTTTCTTAGATTGTGGGTAGCCTAACCTTCTGCTTATATTTTTCGAAAGAAACCGCGTTGGCATAAATGAGGAGCAAACCAATTGGCTCCAAAGTGCGTGTTTAACGTGAAGAAAACAAGAAATACATTTTGAAAAAATAAACGCAATTTGCCCTGAGGCACCACCATATGCATCGGCGTAGGATGTGGTGGCACTAGGGTTAATCCCCTTTTGTTCACGTCTCGCGCCAAAAAAACATTTATTAAAGCTTATTTATTCGCTCATCCACCTTTGCATCCTATTTTATTCATGAGTGAACGTCATGAATCTCTTAATAACGAGAGTTTCTTCAAGACACGTTTGCTAAGGCAGCCTTGTAGTTTAAAGTAAAACGTTCTGCATCCGGTAATAAGTAATGTTGCGATGTTATCGTGAAAGCTAGCCCAGTAAGCATCTATGCATTTCACTAATCAAAACACCAAGTATTCTCTTTCAATTTCTCAAGGTATTGTTTCTTTGCATTTAGTCATTTGCACTGATTATTTGGGAAGTATTTGAAGGTATTCGATAGCTCATCATCAGAATCCTAATGCTAAAATTTTGTCTGTTCGCATACCCCGCCCTCTAAATGATACAACGTCGCGAGAGAAATGGTTGTTGCCTTCTTATGAAAACAGTATAATGTTCTTGTTCCAAACGGTCACGTTAAAGGTACATTGTCATAGCACTTTCATATTTTTCTTCTCGCCAATCATACATTGTAGCTATTGTTTGCAATTGTTAAACATTTTTTTCAAGATGTTGTCAACAAGCCAGTTGCATGACCTAGACTGACACTATACTAGCAGAATAAAATTGATGAGACTTTACTGCGCTACAGTAATGTCTCGTGACCCATGAATACTTTCATTGTTCTCTACTGCTGTAAGCTATTCATTAAAAGTGACTCATAAAAGAACATGTGTGATACCATGTTTTGCTTAAAGTATACGCGTAAAATCAAGCACGTTGCAAAGTACGCCAACCTTATTATTCACTTCTTATTAAGATTTCATATTACTATGCACTAGAATACGCCTGCAAAAAAAATGGCATGTTCAACGTTAAAAAGTGGCACTGCTTACACATTTAAATATATTTGGAAATGAGAAAAATATGTAAATTTTACTTTTTCTCGGTGTAGGCGCTGTAAATTCACTTCTACCTTAAGTTTGGGTAATTATTGAAGTTTGGCAAAAAGTTACACAATAGACAGAGAAGAAGAACGCTTCGTGAAAAGAGATTGTGAACTGGAGAAAAGGGACGATTGAATTTAAATTGAAACCCAAAAACTTCCCTGCCTTGAAAGCTTTAATGAAAAGTTGTCGAATATTGCTATCGCGTACCGGGCAACATTAAACCCGGAGGAAGCGAAAAATGCCCCGTATAGTCGCTAAATTCACGGCGACTTTCAGTTTCAGGTCAAATATTCAAATCTGAACTCATTTTTATTCTTCCATAAAATATAAACAATAATAAATTGATTATACAATAATAACAAAAAGTTACATCTTTCTTGCAGGCGCAGGTTTGTAAAAATCTGAACGAAGTTCCTCTTCGGGTTCGCTTTCTGTAGAAGGAGAAACAAGAAAACGTAAGTTTGCGTCAGTTTTTACTTGTCATAAAAAAAATCTTGTAAAAGAGACACTAATACTTCTGTCGCATTTTCGTGCTCACTTAGAAATTCAAATTTACTGCACTGGTGCTACGCTAAAAGCACTGAATTTCACTGCTCGAGCACAATTGAAGAAGAAGGGACAAATGGTTTGAAATCATGGGTGTCAATTCCATTGAAAATTATGTTGGTAGCGTTTCAATCATGCACAAACAAGTCACAGTATAAACTTATTTAATTCTTTCATTGTTTCACCCTGAACTGCCCTTGTGCAACTTCACTCAGCGAGTAAGCTTGCGTGCAGATGCCAAATATGATGCTTGAGCTGCATGTTTATGTTGCAATTATTAAGAAATATTTGCCTTCCGTAACCTTGAATGCACCAAGAGCATCAGCGTTATTCTTTGTGTTTTTTTTTGTGCTTAAACAAATGGTCAAAAAATGTGGACGTTCTTAGCCATTTTTTTGGTGCTACGTGCATGGTGTCACGGAGCAACTTCACCTTCATAAAAATCAGGTGACTTCATGTTAGAAAAAAAATATTGAGTACATGGAAGGAGAGTTGCCCTAATGGTTCGTGTTAGTTCTTTCTTATGACAGGTTACCACGTCATACGCACCTGACCCACAATTATATAAAAATGGATTGGTAATTAGAAATCATCTGCCACAACAGTAGTCACACACTTTTTAGACGTTACTGGCTTGGAGGGCTAATAACTACCGATGCGAGAAAAGGAGAATAGGTACTAACGCACAATTACAAGTTCTGAAAATTTGACAACACTGTTTCGGCACAGCTTTTATTTCACTCCCTTGTATACACAGAAGTTGGTATATGACAAATATATATCATCATCATGATCATTATCAGCCTGACTACGTCCACTGCAGGACTAAGGCCTCTCCCATGTTCCGCCAGTTAACCCGGTCCTGTGCTTGCAGCTGCCGATTTATACCCGCAAACTTCTTAATCTCATCTTCCCACCTAACCTTCTGGGTAGACGAGATTATATATATATATATATATATATATATATATATATAAAATATATAAAAATTGGTTATCTGAAAATAAAAACTAGCATGGTATGCATAGCACAATTTACTCGCCACACTCAAGGTGAGCTTGTGCAGTTTTGCTGGATTGATCAAGACTAAAAGTTTTTATTGCGTGACCATCCCGAATGTAAACTTCATATAAGATGGTAACATGAAATATTGACATGCATCTCATGTGCATCTTGCTTTGCATATGCGCTGCTCCTTGCTGTCTCCTTCGCAATATATACATATGGCCTCGTTGCGTAGTATCAGCCAGATTACTAAACAGGCTTGTATTTCTTGGGATACTTGAGCACAGAAAATTTTCATTTATCTGCATGTCTGTCGTTCAATCTGTCTATCACGTGATTAAGCTATGCGGTCAAACTTTAAGCATTTGCTGATCGCCCTCCATTTTGATAAGGTGGCAGCGTTCTTACTTGTGAACGTTGTCGACCGAAAAACTAATACGCATTTCTGAGTGGCAACATTGTTAAGCATTAGGTGATGTTTTTTACGAGAAAATACAATATGTTGTTCTGAAGATTCTATAGCATTTTTCAGGCTGCGCTCAAAATGTGAAATTATGTACAAAAAAAAATGCCGCCCGAATCTTTCCATGGTGGAACTCGAGTAAAGGTGTCACAGAGTGCCGGGGGTATTGCTTTTTAGTTGCCTTATTGGGAAATGTTTGGGAATATTGAATTGTTATTTCTTCTTTATTATTCCTTTCTATTGAATGAAGGAGAAGCATTGCCTTAAACGTCATGTGGAAGCCACGTAAAGACGCCCTTGAGTGAATTTCTAACGCGCCATTCATTGCCTACATATACGAGGTGGCCGTTGAACGATTGTACAGTGTGAGATGTCATTTTTGTTTACTAGTAGACGCTGCCTGTGTCGGCCTTGCGAGGCGAAAGAGGGGGCGGGGGGGGGGGGCGACAGTCTTTCTGGTGTCTTCCTGGGCCAGCACGAGACGCGACCATGCGCAGTAGTGGAATCAACGGCGCCACCACCAACGCCGAAGCGCGACATCCTGCGACTAAACAATACTCCACATTTAAAAGCTCTCTTTCGACGGTTTGGTGCTGCCACCTGGCAAAGGGATACAAAGGCTTGCAGCTTCGGCACAAGCTCATGTATCCTGACATCACTGTCTCATGGCGTCCATATCTCGCGCTGTGCCATGTGTCACGCGGAAGAGACTAGGACTCGTCTAGTACCACCGGCAGACGACTGTGGTGCTTCAAGAACATTTGCAGCGAGACAGTCAGATATGTGGTTAGTTCTTTGTTTGACAGTTTCTTCATAACGTCACCACAGAAATTGCACTAATTTACAATGTTCGGTGATATATATTAGCAGGCAACTACGGCTCATGAACGGTTCCGATAGGGAAGAAAAAGATCTTAGCCAAGGAATGCCAAAAAGACAAAACGCCATGGTTTTCTTGCTTGCGTCTTATATCATTTCTTTTTTAATATGGAAGCCTGCCATGTTGCCAGCGTGCCAGAACAGCTATAAGAATACTCAATAGACGTATCCGGTTCGTACATAATCTGCTCACCTGTCAATGGCTCTCAATCAGTTCTCTGAACTGCCGCAGACGACTGTTTATTCCGCCGCATATGCTAGGTGCAAGGTTCAAGGACACGTTGTACGCAAGCCAACTTAGCACTGGAGCGTCACGAACGATTTTGTAAGCGGCTCGCACCTGAATTCGGACAAGGCGCAAGAAATATAGCACAGGAAGGTAAAGCTCCTATCCATAAATCTAAAATCTATTGCAACTCTTTTTCAAGGCAACAGTTCAAGATTTGCAATAAATCACCACGCGCTGTTCCTCAATTTCTGCTAAAAGTAATTTTTTTTTATGCTTGAACCCAGCCGTCTGCTTGTAAAAACCCTCCCCATACATGTTATCTGATTTTTATTGTGCCTCCATCTGTTCCGTTTAACTTAATGGTCAAGTTATTATTCGTGTGAGCTGATGTGCTCACTTCTTCAGTATACCAAGAAAGTAGATTGGTAATAGAGCCAGGCAGATGGGCTCAAGAATAATGAAACTGCATTACAGAAAACTCGTTTTGAACATTTTGTTTTTTATTCTGAATAGATGGCTGGTGAAGCAACTTCTCGTGGTCAAAAATAGCCTCTGAACTCTCATTTTACTGTCAACTATTACTGCTGAGTTTTCTAGATCGCTTGTAAAACAATTCATGTGTATGTACAGGCAACAACATTATAGATGGAATTGCGTAATAAAAGTTGCCTCGCCTTGTCTTCTATGGATTTCGGCGTTTCGAAGGTGAGTACTTCATTGGGATATTGGCTTTCCACGAAGTTGCAGCAGCCGTCCGGCAGGTAATGCACGTAATTTATAGCGTAACTTCCCGAGTAAAGCCAAGTGCGACACACCTGTAAGCAAGAAAGCATACAATGATGTATGAATGCAGCCATAGCAGTTGTCTTTGAAGAGCATACAGGGACTTCAGCCACATACAAGACCTGAAGAACAATTGTATATCCTACGCTGCATAGTTTACATCTCAATGAAGATCTATTATTGTGGGCAATATCAGTTTGCACACGCGAGCGCTTGGCACATACCGTCGAACCCTACATTGGCTGATTCGCAGGAGTCGCTGCCGGAAGCAAAGCGGAAAGGGTGGTGCTCTTTTGGCATGGCTTAACGTTCTCTACTCTATATCATTGCTGTAAAACGGCAGGGTTATAGCGCAATAGTGGCAGCCATGCAGTGGTGATACGAACTCACATTACGTGCGGAGCCACACACAATAACGCATCAGCCTCTGTAGCTGCCTAAATATTCAATATGACATAGGCTGCCATGATGTTATGCCTGTCTTATATGAAGGTGGACTTGGCTGCGTATTTTCATACATGTCTCTCACTCACTTTGTTTTTCGTGCATTTTTTCTCGTGTTACAATCGCTAACGACACATTACAAGCAATTATCTACCATTTGCCCGCAACGCTAGTGAAGCGGTAGTGACCTTTCGCGTCCGACTTCCGCCACACCATCTACAAATCATGATATCTTGGTGTTGTGGCAATTCGTCATGCGCTCGCACGTTTGAGTTCGTATTGATCGCGATAGTATGTGAAAGTAGTCCAATGTGACCAGGTGTTTTCTTTGTGAACCCCGTTACAGCTACATAGCCTCGGTTATAAGCAACAAACGTTCCGTGGCGACGTGGAAGCGGCTTTCCCGAGTGTCGACTCTTTTCTAGCTTTCGAAGCGTGCAGCCTGTCCAGCATCCATGATGAGAAGAAGAACCACCATTTGCGATGCAGTCACGGCGTCTGTTGACCTATTCATTATTTTCACCTGTCGCGCCCTCTTTGGACCTAATTTAGTTATTTGAGCACACCACTAAGCGACATAAGGTGACATCCGGGCCCCTGAAGTGCCCCTCAGCTAAAAAATGGCGAAGCTAATATCTTCATGACTGATCTGTCAGTATCCTGCTTGTGAAGCAGAGGCATATAAAGAACATTGCTGATGCATTCTACTCAAGAATTGCTATGATGCGACAGTTAAAACTGTCTTCAGAGAAGGAGTTCCTATGACGTATTCAGTATGAAAGTTCGTACGATCTTTATTCGTGTTTTGCAGCAATAACATGCATCGTTTGGGGAATATGCACCAAGGTTGACTACTAGAACCAACTCTCGATGGCGACTAACAATGACTGAGACCATGGGTAACCCGGTGTGGAAGTATTCAACATACACTTGAACACATCACTTCATGGATTCCTCGCAAGAATGACATGAACAAGCACCTAACACCAATATTTGGTATGCCGAAATTGCAGGTATATGGTAACTCTACACCTGTGCTCATGCATAGACTACATTACTAGTAGTGCTTCACCAAAGTAGTGGGCGGTAAAACACCGTTAGGGCACAAAAAAGCTGCACTACTGCGGCAATGAGCCATCGGCCACTAACACGAAGTGAACAGAAATGATTGATTATACATTGGGGTTTAACTCCCCAAAACCATCATATGATAATGAGAGACGTCGTAGTGGAGGGCACAGGAAATTTAGACCACCTGGGGTTCTTTGACGCGCACCCAAGTCTGAGCACACGGGCCTACAGCATTTTCGCCTCCATTGAAAATGCAGCCGCCGCAGCCTGGATTCAATCCCGCGACCTGCGGGTAAGCAGCCTAGTACCTTAGCCACTAGACCACTGCGGCGGGGCAAGTGGAAAGCAAAAAAGGCAACTGCGCCCAGATTCCCCAATGATAGCGTGGGCAGTGTTGTCAAGAAGTAACTGCTTTAGAAAATCCTTAACCATTGTCTCCGATATTCGGCACTGGTGCGCTATTTCGGATGTCTTGCTGGGAACGCGATAGCGTTAAAGAGCTCGTTTCACACAGATTCCGGCGTCGGAGCCTGTCGGCGTCATTGGTGGTGAGCAAAAAGCCACCATAGTTGCATGACCGACAAATCTAGCAGCTCTGCATGACCGAAAAATCAATAATTATGAAAATCAAAAATAATAATAAAAAAGGCCTGGTCTGAGTCGGGACGGAGCACGGGTCGTCTGTGTGGCAAGCGTGTGTTCTACCCTTCAATCACGAGTCTGCTTGTGAATGAAAATAGCTTCATCTGCTTGGAAATGCAGAGATTATAATTTACATGCTTTACAAACGTACACGTCCATTTTGTATACTTCTCAATACAGCATGAAATATTGCAGTAATGATGCTTGGTACAAGCGTAGATTGCTATCGGCCGTCAGAACATTGGATTATCATGACTTCATAGTTTAAAGCCAGTCACTTACTACAAAAAGCACTCACGCTCCTGCGCCCTTAAGGTCAAGTAGTGGGTGGATAGCGAACTCGGAAGTATTTCCTTCACTACGTGTTTGAAGTACGCAAAAGGAACAGAATATTGCTATCGCGTTCAACTCTTAAATGCGAAACTGAAGACTCAAGAGTCACGAAATTTTTATCTTCATCATGAACGAATCATTCTTAATTTGCGCTAATAAATCATGTCAAATCACTTCTCTTCACTGTTCGTAAACGGCAGCATCCTCTGTCTCACGAAGTGTGCGGAAGAGAATCTGTGAGAGATAAGAGGGCGTTTTAAAATCCGCATCGTTAGCTCAGTCAGGCATCCGATGGAGGCGGAAATGTTGTAGGCCCGTGTGCTCAGATTTGGGCGCACGTTAAAGAACCCCAGGTGGTCAAAATTTCCGGAGCCCTCCACTACGGCGTCTCTCATAATCATATAGTGGTTTTGGGACGTTAAACCCCACAAATCAATCAATCAGCTCAGTCAGGCAGATAGATAGAAGGCTCTCACAAACATGTCTGAAATGTAGAGTCTTCCTCATAAGCTAAGACTAAGAAACAAAAAAGCTTCATCAACACAGTTGGTGCAGCGCCGGGCGCGTATCGTCGCAGGCCAGGGAGTTGGAGGTTTGATTTACGTTTGTGAAAACTTTGAAAGACGATAGTCTTTCTTGGGGACCTTCGACGAAAAAATTTTGGTCTGTCTGTCTGTCTGTCTGTCTGTCTGTTTGTGTGTCTGTACATTCGTCCGTTTGTCCACTCTTACCGGCATCGGGTACTTGAAATGGCCGACCCCATCCGCAGCGACCACCAATGTTGCTCAAGGTTGAGCGTTCATGCGTGTGCAATTTTCAACTAAAAAGCAACTATCGCGCATATCTGGCGCACCATAACAACACGCATATATTCTGCATATGCATCTCGTACTAGAAAACGCATACATAAGTAATTTTAGGGACCATAGCGCTTATCACGCTGCGCTGACCATGCAACGCTTGCATGAAAAGGCGAATGTTTCCAACGCTTTGCTAAGACGAGACGGTGGTGCCACCTACCCGTCACCTTGCGTTCTACAGCTTATCACCTCTGAGACGGGCGCGTACGGCCACGTGCTTTGTTTTACAAAAGAAACTGCCAGATGGCGCTTATGTCTCACGTGTGATGTGCCTTGATGCGCTCGTTCGCCTCCGATGCACGCTCGTGGCACTCTAACGCAGCGCCTCCGGAATACCATTCACCAATTTTCTTGCGCAGAACATCAAATAAATGTTTTGTTCACTCTCTCCACACGCAATACTATCATCTTTCGACGACATTTGCAGATAACATGCAGATACGGGGCCAATTTTTTTCGAAGGCATTTTTCTCCTTGTTCAATTGGTGGCGTCAATTCTGTCAAGGTCATGTTATTCTGACAACTACGTCACTAAATTATTCACGTACCCCGGTGATAAAACACTTTCGTGTTAAAAAGAATATAGGTTCTAACAAGAACATGAACGGTCAATATTCGAGGCATCTAGGCTAAACACACAAGTGCGCGCAGATTCAGAAACTTCAACACTGGCACGCTTTTTCGAAGCAATAGATTACAGCTCGCCGACGACGAGCGATGGCACGTACTTGCCCCAACATACAAAACCATAGCATTATCTGAGGGCGCACCATGGTGCAAGAATACTTTAGGTGAGTGAACGCCGCTTAGCGAACGCTTGGTGGGTAGAGACCAATTATGTTCTCGTTTGCGGCAGGCCGATAGATGGCTCGCTGGCCTGAGGACCGTGGCGGGCTGCTGGCGAATTTTGCAAAGCACACCCGGCACGTGGACAACGGTTTCCAAATCTGAGGAAACAGGGTTATCGCGCGATAAGAACCACGTGACACACATAAAGTGACGCCGCGAAAGAGGAGGTGATAAAGGTGGAAGTTGACAGTGCTGCGAGGGTGTTTGGTGATGATAAACGAGCGCCGCTACTTTCCCACGTACGGGGCTTTCCTACATTAAGAGGGGGAAGGGGAGCCGGGGCATAAAGTCCCTTATAGGAAGAAAGTTCCTACACTCTCCTCCATCTCCTCTCCAAAGTGTCGAAGCCTCCTCTCCCACGTGTCCGAATCCTTATCTATATCTTCTCCCGAGCGGCCACCATGTGGGCGCTGGCCCTGTAACTCGGCTCGCGCACTGTCATATCAAGAATGTTATGTCCCGCTGATAACACGCGCGATGCTCATGGTGGCCTGAGAAGAGAGAGGTGGGAAAGGGGGGGGGGTGTGATGCGGTGGCGGCTCAGTTAAAAGGATGTCGGTACTTTCGTAAAGATATCCGGGGACTTTACCGAGGCAAAATTTGTAGCGCCTTCTCTCGGACTCATTGCGAAGTAGCACATTATGGGGAACCGGATAGTACCGGTGTTCACTCACCTAAAGTATTCTTGCACCATGGGTTGGACAAACACATGTACAATACTCCACGGTGCTACAAATAGAGAAGCATTTGTCATTAGTGTGCTTTCAGCCTTTACCACTTCGTACTGGTCTTCAGTCATATTTGCGCATTTCGCCCGATGTATAGCATGTGGCCTTCCTGCTTGCATAATGGCACTTATGTCGATGCCCTTGATAACTGTCATGGTCATGCTCAAGGTCAGTGCAACGCTGGAGTCAAGATTCTTCAGCTTTGCGGTCATCTTCACAATGTCCACCTGTGGTAGAATAGAAGTAAAGAAACACTTGATTGTTTCTTCATTTTTCAACATGAGCATTTGAAGTATTCAATGTAGAACTATCAAAATATTGCAACAACAATGTAAAGCTGTCAAATATCGCCACTATTTTGCTGACTGCACTCACTGCAGAGATTTCCTGCAATTAAAGCTGCATTCTCATGACGGAAGTGATCACGTATGAAGCAGTCACGTGACAAGGGACGTGATTCGGATCCCTCTGCATCCACTATTCTAATGACATGGGAGAATTCGCGCTACGAGTGAGGATTTCACCATTGCTCTCAGAGGATCCCAACTGTTATTTCGGCTTTCGTCACTTCACGAATAGCTCAGCGCGAACCGAAGTGGGGATGCGAGAACTGCTTACGTATGGTGATGTAGCATGCAATACACCGTGCCGAATTGCGATTTTGTCCGTCGTGGGAATACAGCTAAACGAACAACCAAGTACTACAGGCAAGATGCTTTAGCCACAGCGAAAAGATTCCTATCGTGTAGAAAAGCGCTATGTAATCTTACCGGTTCTTACCCCAATACAACTTAGTGAAAATATAGAGAACAGATATCAGAAGAATTACAATATTTCTCACCATCTGTTTCAATCACACCCTTTCGATCCATCATTTCCGCCATCGACAGCGATATGGTGTGAGAGCTTGTTTCGGTTCTTTTTTATACTTGAAGTTTAACAGTGGATTCGCACAAAAAAATATGCGTTGCGTGTGGGAAGGTTGACCTAATTATTGCCTCATTCACACTGGGAAATCAACCGACCAGAGCGATCGCAATTGTAGCGCCACTTAAACCGCGACTTGACCCCCCAGGACACCAACGATATACGCCAAAACTCGATATAACGCCTCTATCTTGTAAAGCGCTAACCAAAATGAGAGCACCAGATATCCCCACGCTCTATTCGTGTTATGTTCTATGTTCACATGTCATTATGGCTTTTCACGTCAACGGGAGCAAAGTCGTCGAACGGCAGGGCCTGCTCGAAGTCAACTTTCTCGCGATGTCTCATGGGCCTGCTTCCACTGAAAAAAAAAAATGGCACAAGCAGTGGCGACTGGTTTGCCGTGGTAGGCTAAACGCGAGAATATTGGTCACGCAGAGATATTACCCTTTGGGTGAAGTCGCAACATGGCGCACGTGAAAAGGGACAAGATTCATTGGTATACTTGTGAGCAAAGCCACTTCGCATTTGCCGAAAAAGGAACGAGTGCTTTTGGAGGGCGACGCTGTCGGTACCGTCTTCGTTGACAGCGACATCACAAGTGCGCCACCAGTTTTCGAATTTCGGACTCATTCACCTATTGCTGTGGTGAGTAGACCGGCAGCCGCGGCTGCTAAAATTGGTAAGGGACCGGTTGGTGCGGACAGGGTCTCGCTGCCACCGAAGCGAATTTAGCGCTCAAGTCGCCGCCCAACGTCTCAGGGTGAACTGGGCCTAACTCCTACGCCAAACAAGTAAGAGTCAGGCAACTACTTCGGGATCCCATGAACAAAGCTTCTCCGCACTCCTGCGCCTCTGTTAAACACAATGCTGAACGCCCCGCTATATGCAAGTGGCACCGTTGCAGACGTGACCAAAGAAGAAGAGAGCAGTGACGCTCGAGGTACACGAGCAACGTGGTACTATCAGACTGCGTCTGCTTCGGCTATGACGTCACTCCTCTGTTATGCGCAGACAAATGAGGCGCGCATCGCAGCTGAAGCGCACCAGCTGGGCGCTGTGACGTACCTGCTCCTCGCGCATGCGCAACACTGCTCATCATGAGCTACGCAAATGTGCTGAATTTTGGACTGTGCAGCTCATGGTACAAAAATGATGTTGCTACGAATCTTTCCAGCACTGTCTTTTAAATGACGTGTCGATGGAAGGTTGCAATTATGGTTTTCATTTACCATACTCGTCCACCCACCACGCACAGCCATGGTACTTTAATATGGCTACTTACACACAGCGTTACCGTTTGGTCTTTAGTTCGTGAGCTGCATTACAATAAACAACACAAACTACTCATACACTAGAACTTGACGGCTGCTAGAACGAGAAATTATTTCACCCAAGTGACTGGTGCAACACTGCACATTCAATACGACCAAATATCTCTCAGACGCTGTATCACTCGAAAACACTGCTGACCATGACATATATATGTGGCTACTAGGTTTCAGTTATCTGGTGAAGCAGCGTTTAAATAACGGATGTCCTAAATAACAATGAACATCTATCAGAAGACGTATTGAAGGTACAGTTGGTGCACGTTACGGGATTCATGAGTTGCTTATATTGCGATCCTCACCGCGGTGCCCTAGTGGCTAAGGTACTCGGCTGCTGACCCGCTGGTCGCGAGATCGAATTCCGGCTGTGGTGGCTGCATTTTAGACCGAGAGAAAAATGCTGATGCCCATGTGCTCAGATTTGGGTGCACGTTAAAGAACCCCAGGTGGGCAAAATTTACGAAGCCCTCCACTACGGCATCTCTCATAATCACATGGTGGTTTCGGGACGTTAAACTCCAGATGTCAATCAATCAAATTGCGATAAGGACAATGATAAAAATATTCACAAAAATGGTGATAACTGATGAGCTGTTACCTACCATTGTTAGTTGGCTGCTATTGCTAAAGAAGCATCCGGTGTCCCACGAAGTTCTTGCTTGAGCATAGCATGGAGATGATTGAAGTTTTGTGACCGTGTTGACAATGATGAAGCGGACAATGCTGGACCAGAGAAAAACCACCACGCCGTAAATATCATGCACCCGGAATATTTCACGTCAAGTAACCATTATTGAAAGGAGCTTCAGAAACGCAAAGTCTAATTGTTTTTGATAATCGTTGTGCTCTCAGAAGTGATGTCCACTTTCCTCAGCTCTTTGCTTTATAAATGAGTTTTGTTCAAGTTGGATTATGATTTTGATATGGCAGAGAATTCAGAAGCAATATTCATTGCTCCTGCGTCTACAGCAAAACAATGTAGGACTAGTATGTAACCTCGAAATACACACACAGCCTTATTGTAATAAATTTAACGCATACTGGGACTCGTACGGAATGAAGTTACTGGCTCAATGGGAGTCGTCAATATGTGGCCTCTTGAGTGCCACAGCCGTAAGTCTTGGTGTGAGCATTTAAAATACAGAAATGCCAAAAAATGATTGTGTAAGCTACATCTGTGGAATATTGTTCATGATGTCACGTATGACTCAGTTGGAATAGTTTGCGCTTATGACAACAGTAAGCTGTTGCGAGAAGGCAGTAGAGACTAAGAATACAAGTATACTGGGTGTGAATCGATATGCACTACATTTGACGGAGAGAGGTGCACGAGCAGTAATTTTGCCGTTTAAAAAGGAATACTAATGTTCTTCTCCCACTAAATTTTGACTAAACGTTTGCAGAAGAAATTCTGGTACCTTGGCGCAACACGGCCAGTTTTAGGACTTCAAATTGTCTGGAAGAATATAGCCGCCCATTTATGTGAATATTAGGGCTTTCATAAAAAGTACGGTAGGAGAATATGCACGAACAGAGAATCGGTGGCTTTCGTCGCAAAAAAAAAAAACTAGAGATTCAGGTTGAATTATATAAATTAAGAAACAGAATTCCAGTCCGCTATGACAGTATACTGGAAGCTCCCCCTTCCCCCCAAAAAAACCATAAAGACCTCTAAGCATAGCACTAATGAATGGTGATAAATAAAGGTTGGTATAATAAAGAAATTTTGAATGTCTGCTTCATTTTAGATGATTATTGAAAAAGTTTATCCAAACTCGTAAAATATGGCATACTCTTTTGTACGAAGCGTCAATACGTAACACTTTTTATGCTTAAGTTCTCTTGTGATCAATGTTACCTTTGGTGTAAGTTGCATACCATATCTCCACTTACCAGCAATCTCCATCAGTACAGGTGAAGATTTCACGATGACATGCACATTTGGCGCTGACATGGCTTGTGTGGCTTATGCAGTCACAAATACAAATTGTGTACCACGAATACACCAATCGTACCTATAAATCTACAAGTAGCGCTGCAGCAGTTTTATTGTTCAAACCACAACCTCTTTCTAAAGAAACGGCAGTTAATGTACAGCCATTACGGTCTGAAACGCGACGTCACAACTTTTACAACAACGATTGCAATCAGAATTTGTTTGAGATAACATCGTCAATTCACCAATCACAAAGAAACGTGCCTTCACAGGAAGTATTAAGGACGTCGTCATTCCAAGACCAGCTACGTGCGCTCTCGGAGCCCATGATGTCGCTGAAGAACTAGGTCTGACCATGCCATCATAAGAGCCGCCCGGTTTGACTTGAAAGAGTCGAGCCTCGTCCTTTCTATAAATAAGTTTTTACACGTGCACGCAAACAGAAGGCGGTGGAAACAACAACGCTCCATTTACGTAGCCTTAAAGTGTCGCCTTTCAATATGAAAGAACTCTTTGTTGGTATTGGACAAGGATATATCAATCAGTTTTCAATATAATGCTAACAGTTAAGTTTGGAATTACCCGTTTAGAGCATTCAGGAGGTCATGGTAAACCGCCGTGTACTGAGTTGAGTCTGGTGTGATGGTGAAGAAATTGGATATTTCAGGAGCTCCAACTCTCGCTTCTAAAAGCGCACGTTCCAGTTTCTGCAAGGAAACAGTGTTTTGTGGAGACTTTAACGGTGAGCATCTAGAAGGTCTATCTAACATGGCTGATTCCACAACTGGTTATTTTGGTCACTGTTCAGAATAAGCTGCATATCTGAAAGCAGGCATAGTAAAATAAAGTCTTGAGAGTGATTTTGAAACAGTCTGTAGGCATCATCGTTCATAGAAAAGTGCCGCTCAGCGTCAAGCATTGATGGCGGTAACACCATTGATGCAAAATATAACGTCACATGTGACGTCATTATCATGTTGTGACCTCACATTAAGCAACGTCATGGTAGCATTCTGACTTCGTATATACGCATGACTTTTCGTCATGATTATGTCACCTGTGACGTCATCGTTACGCAACATCACGCGTATATACGAAGTCAGAATACTACTATGACATTGCCTAAGGTGACGTCACAACATTGTCGTTGTTTGGAGGACGACCAATCTCAAACGCAATACAAACAAAAGTGAGGTTCGGTAAAATTTGAGTGCCTTTGATGGCGGAGGAAGCGCAAAATTACATCATGTGCAGAAACTTTCCGCTGGTGATGTTGATAAGTAGAATCAGCTGAAAAACAAACTATGGCTTTTGTCTTCAAGACGTCGTATGCAAATTTTGAAGAGACCATGGCTCTTTTTTTGTTCAAGTTGTCATCTGACTTGGGGCGGCTAAACCATGACGTTATTATTTGAGTGGATTAGCGCAATAAATTTGTTATCGTATATTTTCATTCCTTGAAACAGACAATTATTAGTGCCCTCACGCCTAACCGCGGTGGCCTAGTAGTTAACGACGCTCGACTGCTAACACTCAGGCCACGGGATTGAATACCGGCTGTAGCGGCTGCAATTTCAATGGAGGGGAAAATGTTTGACACCCGTGCACTTAAAATGAAGTGCACGTTGAAACTATCGAGGTGGTCGTATTTTCCGCAGCCTTCCAGCACAGCTTCGCTCATAATCGTATCGTGATTTTTGGACGTTCAAATCCAGTGAATAAATCAAACGGTGATATAAAATTAACTTAGAGCGCCAGAGTGGTTGCTGCTCATCTGCGGAACATGTCACTTGAAAAGAAGGGGGAGGGTCCTTTGGAAGCATGCATTCCTCTTCAGTACATCCACATTGCTATTGCCCTGCTCCATCAGAACAGAATTGAGTGCTGCTTAGCGTTTCGCTATTTGAATGTGGTCTGTAAAGTGCGATATACTCGCATGTGCGCGCTGTGGAGCATACGTGCACGTGCATGCGTGTTAAAGGGCATACCAGCTTTTAAAGGTGAGAAACTCGTCTTTTTTGTCGCGGAATGTGACAATCTTGTCACTCTTTTTCGACAATACCTATGGCCGCATGAATTAAAGTTGCATAATGATTGACTAACTAACTGCTTGATTGATTGATTGATCGATTGATTCATATGGGGAGCTTAACGTTCCAAAGTCATCAGATGATTACGAGATACGCTTTAGAGGAGGGCTCCAGAAATTTCGGCTACTTGGCGTTTTTTTAACGTGCACCCAAGTCTGAGCACACGGGCCTACAGCACTTTCACCTCCATCGACAATGCAGCCGCTGCAGCCGGGATTCCATCCCGCGACCTGTGGCTCAGCAGCCAAGTACCATAGCCACTGGACCATTGCGGCGGGGCTAGAAAGCGGCGTAGAACGCCTCAAGCTTCAGAAGAGGAAGCGAAAGTTTATTAAACATGATGTACGAAACAATAATTTTGAAGTGAAAAGGCCAATTTTTAAAAACCAGGGTAATTAACTATAAAAATGCGGACATACCACACAAAACGTTTATTAAGGCTGACTAATGTGGATTTGAAAGTAAAAAAAATGCCCGTGGTTATAAGGAATATTTATATTGATCGGGTAGAACAGAGTATTAGGCATTATTTGAGACTCCTGGTTAATACTTTCCGCGCCAAATTTATGATAGTTGGGACTTCGAAAGTGTATGGAGGTCTCATTTGCACCAATCTAATACTCCGCAACAGCAAGTATGAAAGTAAAATCAAGTTACAATTCATTATTAGCCAAACAAATAAATTAGCGAAAATTGTCTTTGGCACGTTAATCTTTTTGTACAGATCAGGCCTGATGCGTTGCCAGGTGGGTGATGGGCAACTGTGAATAGCACGGCAAAAGTCTCCAGTTTTCGTTCGAGGTATTGGCAACAAGTTCTACATCGTAGAGAATGTGTGGGCACAATTCAACCAAATCATATCTCGCAAGAACTATAGGAGATGCCAGTGCTCACGAACTGTGGCGAGTGGCAGCGCCTTGGCTGAAACACTTCACAGAAGCAGTCTACCAGTTACTTCAACATAGGATAAAAGTTGTTATTCGCGTGAATGGTGCATGCATGCACGCGATATTGATGTTGTCGACAAATTGTGTCTATATTGAGGCACGGCGCAAGCTTGGCAATAAACTCCATAAATCAGCGATCATATACCAACAACTAGAGGACGCATGGTAACGTGTTTGTAACCCTTACTGCGTATTCTTACGTCTAGGTTTCATTAAAGATTTTGTTACTGATTCATATTAAGCGCTTGCAACAATTGAAACATTGTATAGGTACATTTTTCTGTTTGAAAGTAACGCTAATATTTCAATTCAATTTGATAAACACGTGAAACATTTCTCTGACCCCGAACGCATTCGCTCGCAAATGTAATTCGCGTTGACAGTTTAAAGAGTAGAACGCACACGTGCCCAAACAGCGCAGGCAGTGCCCTAACTTTACGAAAAGCAAATTTGCAGTCAATCGCCATAGTGTCAGGTCAGATAACTGGGAATCACCACCGATATGGTTAACGGTTTTACGTGGTTTACGCATTGTGAAAAGACATTCGACATTATTAACTAGAGGCAGCGTCGTGCAGAAATGCTTGCGTATTGCGCTGCGTATGAAACGTTAGTCCAGAAGTGAAAAAGAAGGCCTGCTATTGAAAACACTATCTTTGGAATATTATATCGGGATTCACAGTACAGTGTTAACAGCATTCAATATAGTCAATATTTTATTCAATGGATTACTGTTTGCTGCTTTTCTTCATTTTCAACTACCACTGGAATCTCTGCGCCAGCCCTAAACTCAATTTACTGCCGCTAGAATTCCAACGCTTTTTAGTGGTTAAATTTCTTTCCAGATAAAGAGAAGTCATACAGATAAGTTCGTAACGCGTGGCTTTACCTGTTATAAACTGAAGATAAATCTGCCTGCTTAATATGAGGCACTATCAAACAGTGGGAATTGACTTAGCTATGCACTCTCAAAAGAAAAAACTTCATTGGTGACTGCCCACTCAGCATGTTAACTACTACAAAATCAAGTGCTTACCGCTTCGTATTCAGCAATTGTTCACTTACCCTGAAGAGATCACGGAGAACCGGCACAATGGTGTTTATAGTGGTCCGTTTTTGTAGCCCGGGCATAGATGTAAGGTAGCCTAAGCCGGCAAAAGTTGGCAGGTCTTTGCGCACTGAAGCAAGGTTATTGCGAAACGTCTGATCGTGCGTTGCTTTAGTCATGTCTGCGGGCATGGCTTCATCGATTGTAAACAGAACTGGGAGGCTTCTTGAGAAGGTTCGAATGAATTCGTAGTCGGTAGCTGTGCGAAAAAGTACAGGGTTTAAAATGTGAGTGTGCCTGACATTTAGGAATTCTCTATTGACAGTAAAAAATATAAAGAACGTTCGATGTACAGTTGGCACTGATCACCACGCCTTCTCCACAGCAGATGAACAAATTTATTTGCCTAATGTACATTAATTCGTAAATCTTGCTCCTTAATTTTTTTCTCTATTTTTCCAGTACGCCTAATATTTCCAGTATTTCCAATATATGCAGGAAAGGCAAGAACATGAAATTATGTGCTTCTGGATCAAAAACTTCACGTGGCACCTTACGCAAATGCCTGAGATTTTTTGAAAGCAAAACCTATTTAGTACTTTCCGTTGCAATCGATTGTAATGGTGATTGCCCCAACCACCTGTTCCCATCGGAAAATATTTGGAAGACATGTGGTGTTGTGATTCATCCGGTTTGGATCACCGCAGCGTAATTTTTAATCGAGTAACAACGTGCCGTTTTGATTTTGATGGATCATTTATTGCGATAAAATTTCTACACAAAATCAAATGACGCGATTTCCATCGAGCAACCAAAGGAAAGCGCGGCAATCTTTGGTATTTTGTGCAGAACTATAGCCAGTACATCGCCACGCTTGGCTTGGCACACTGGTCTCCCTTTCGAGTGGCCCGGCAGGCTCACACATGTATTCGCAAGTGCTCCTCGACTCGAACTTCGATCTTCACTTCACTAAATTGAGCAGTGCCACTGCTCCAATAAAAATGTCCATGCTGCGCTTTGCAAGAACCACTGCGGATTATCGCTGACATGCAGTGACTTGGTCTGCCTATACATAGTGCTTCCACCGACTAAGTATATATATATATATATATATATATATATATATATATATATATCTATATATATATATATATATATATATATATATATATATATATATATATATATATATATATATATATATATATATATATATATATATATATATATATATATATATATATATATATATATATATATATATATATATATATATATATATATATGTGCGTGTGTGTGTGCTTGTGTGTGTGTGTGTGTGCGTGCGTGTGTGTGTGTGTGTGTGTGTGTGTAAACGTGTATGTGTATCTATAGGGCTGAGTGATATTTCCTTCGAATTGTTAATTTGTTACATATTTTTTCACCTGTGTCAAGAAATACTGTGAATTTGTACTTATTGGCTGCGTAAATTAGTTGTATTCACTCCTGCATTGACCCGAGAAGGGCCTGCAATATGTGTAAATAAAATAAAAATATACAATTTAAATGTAACTGCAAATAATTAACTATATGTAAGCCATCACACTAAGCTAAGTGAGTGCCAGTATTGTGAATATGCTTACCCCTGTAGTTTGGTGGGGACCCGTGGGCAATGTCTACTATGAGGTAGTGACAGACTCCGATAGCCGGTAGAAGCTGCGACAGGTTAGCGTGTACACTTTGGTTGAACCTAGTCGGAGACATGACTGCGCACAGCACGGACTTCTTCGCTGTGAATGGTCATAAAGACAAGGTTGCGTTAGTGTTGTTTCTATTCCAACAACGAAAGCAAAGAAAATGTGGTACTCTGAAACATTCAATGAGCAGTAGGTTGGTGTAGAAATGTATTTTGAGTAGAATTGTTTTCGGGCTGTATGCTTGCAGCGTGAAAAGAATGACCGCGTATTCTGAAAGATTTTTAGGGGTGGTATTTAATTATAGCCTGACAGGAAGTCTGGCATAACATGAGCGTAGCATGTAGTCATGTTTCACTGGATACGCATGTCATGAATATCATGCTTGGACGTGTCATTTATATTTGTCGTCTATTTGCGCCACGTGATACCAAATTCGGTACATGTGAAGCCACTGAAATGGCCGTGAGCACTCTCTGAGCAGTGATTGTAGGCATGATTTTCATGATACGCCTGTTATGATTATCATTTTTTGATGTGCCATTTACTTTCGACGTCCGTTCACGACACGTAATACCAAGTTTGGTATATGTGAAGCTAGCGAAATGGCCACGAGTGCATCACGAGCATGTTTTGTAGTCAGGTTATTACATGACACGCATGTTATGACTATAATGTTTGCACCAGTCACATACTTTTGTCACTTATTCACGTCACGTTATACCAAATTTGGTGTATGTAAAGCCTGGGAGACGACCGCGAGCGCATCATGGCATGTAGTGATATTTTTACATGATACGCATGTGATGAATATCATGTTTGCACCAGTAATATCACTTCGGAATCTACTCACGTCATGTAATACCAAAATTGGTGTATGCGAAGCTACCGAAACGACCGCGACCACATCATGAGTGCGGCAGGTAGTCATGTTCTTGCATGACACGCATGTCATGATTTACGCGTTAAGGTCTGTCACTTATGTTCGCCATGCAGTCGTGTCATAACATACCAGTTTAGCAATATGTTTTAACGAAACCACCGTAAGAGCAGCAAGACCATGACATGTAAATCATGACATTCATGACACACGTATCTTACTTTTCATGTATGTCTAGTTATTCTTGCTCGGCCTACAGTCTAGTTATGCCACACCAATTTTGGTATTGATCCCCTTATCGAAACAAAGAGTTAAAAGGAGAGCTAAATGTCATAGGCGGCTACATAGATAGATAGATAGATAGATAGATAGATAGATAGATAGATAGATAGATAGATAGATAGATAGATAGATAGATAGATAGATAGATAGATAGATAGATAGATAGATAGATAGATAGATAGATAGATAGATAGATAGATAGATAGATAGATAGATAGATAGATAGATAGATAGATAGATAGATAGATAGATAGATAGATAGATAGATAGATAGATAGATAGATAGATAGATAGATAGATAGATAGATAGATAGATAGATAGATAGATAGATAGATAGATAGATAGATAGATAGATAGATAGATAGATAGATAGATAGATAGGCCGGTCGGTCGGTCGGTTGGTCGGTTGCGGCGAAGTCACCGCAGCTCGCTAAGAAATGATCATCATCATCATCATCAGCCTGACTACGTCCACTGCAGGACAAAGGCCTCTCCCATGTTCCGCCAGTTAAGCCGGTCTGTGCTTGCTGCTGCCAATTTATATCCGCTAACTTCTTAATCTCATCTGCCCACCTAACCTTTTGTCTCCCCCTAACCCGCTTGCCTTCTCTTGGAATCCAGTTAGTTACACTTAACGACCAGCTGTTATCCTGTCTACGCGTAACATGCCCGGCTCATGTCCATTTCTTCTTCTTGATTTCAGCTATTATATCCTTAACCTCGCGTTTGTTCCCTAATCCACTCTGCTCTCTTCTTGTCTCTTAAGGTTACACCTACCATTTTTCTTTCCATTGCTCGCTGCGTCGTCCTCAATTTAAGCTGAACCATCTTTGTAAGTCTCCAGGTTTCTGCTCCGTAGCAAAGTACCGGCAAGATATAGCTGTTATATACCTTCCTCTTGAGGGATAGTGGCAATCTACCTGTCATAATTTGAGAGTGCTTGCCATATGTGCTCCACCCCATTCTTATTCTTCTAGTTACTTCAATCTCGTGGTTCGGCTCCGCGGTTATTACCTGCCCTAAGTAGACATAGTCTTTTATAATTTGAAGTGCACTATTACCTATCTCGAAGCGCTGCTCTTTTCCGAGGTTGTTGTACATTACTTTCGTTTTCTGCAGATTCATTTTAAGACCCACCTTTCTGCTCTCCTTGTCTAACTCCGTAATCATGAGTTGCAATTCCTCCCCTGAGTTACTCAGCAATGCAATGTCATCGGCGAAGCGCAGGTTACTAAGGTACTCTTCATTAACTCTTATTCCTAACTGTTCCCATTCTAGGCTTCTGAAAACCTCCTGTAAGCACGCGGTAAATAGCAAATAGTGCTAAGAAATACTTCGCGTTTAATACAGCGACTCGATTTTTCCTTTAACGAACACGGCCTTGGTGCTACCGTAATCCTCGCAGGGCTCTTGTGAATGTCCATGAACCCCTTTCACCCTAAAAAAATGAAATGCTGATGCGATGACTTTAGGGCGCCTGAACGACTGCATAGCAGGATGCTGCATCTCTGCGTTCCAAAAGTTTTTACACCTTTTTACAGGAAAGGAAAACGCCGCCATGATCGGATGTGCACGGGAATATACAGAGCAGCTCAACTCGTAGCTTTCGTGGTTAATTTTTGCGGGGGTCAATTCAAGTTGTGCAGCCCAGAAAAGACTATGGCAGGAAGGACTTAAATAGTGAGCTTGTATCCTAATTTTTATTGAGATTTTGTTTCAGCTAGATGACAGTGGATTGATGCCCAGAGAGACAATCATGTTACAATTTTCATATTATTAGGAATTAGGTTTCAGTCTCTGCTTTTAGTATATATGAGGAACTGGTGCATGGAAGACACTGGTAACGCTTGGCATAACCTACGCTTCGTTATCAGCATGGACGTCACCACCACCAGGTACTATTATACCGTGTATTGTTATAACGTGTGACAAGGGTGAACGACTCGATAGTGACTATTACAGGTGCTTTTCTGAGAGCGTAGGTTTTTAGGTAACTGCTGCCATGAACCGCTGTCAGGTAGTCACTGGTCATTGAGCGTGACTGACAGAATTGTGAAAGGCAGCACATGCGTGAAAGGGAGAAAGAAAAAGAATCGATGAGCAGATAAAATTAAGTAGTTGGCCAGTAATAACGTTGCAGCATCAAGCTCAGGACCACTTTGATTGGCTAAGCATGGAAGATGCTTATGGCCAGCAATGGGTGCAGTCAAGATTATGAAAATGACAATAGCATTTTTCAGCGTATGAACTGGTTTCATAGGCACAGCATACCTGGGTATACGGACACGAGAGATGGCGTGCTTGCATCAGCAGGGCCTGCAGAATAGGATTCCCACGAAACACCATTTGCGAGCGAATATATAAAATGCATTTTATAGAAATTTTTGTACCTAACTCTTACCAGAGTTCAAAATTATGCCGACGCCTTCTATGCCGATTTGACTAAGTTCATGTTATTAGGTATTTCTTCGAGTAGCTAGCACTGTTTATTCGTTTTTTTATACCTGATTGCTCAATCAGGCAGGGTTATTGAACTTCCTCCTGAAGCCCTGAAGCAGGGCAAAAAAATTCCAAAGAGAAAGTGCTTTATCGGTTTGCTAAACAAACGAATACATAGCGCCTAACTTTGCACCTATTAAGGAGCATTATTTGTTGGTTTTTGCCTACTGCAGAGACCCGTGAAATCGGACAACATACTTCATGACAGCACCGGTTTTGCACCCAGATTGTAATGCTCCCTTTCATATACTACGCACAAATGCTACGCCTCCCTCACCATGGCTCACGACAGTGAGATAAGCAGGCTCAGTGTTCGTTGCTTGGGGCGTCACTAGAAGGTTTGTCATTGCACATTTACCAATATATTCGGTGCCCTATCGCGTTTAGGCGGCAGCATGCCCGATAAAGTGTCCCAGTTGTTTGCCCATGAATGCAGGGCAGCATTACATATATAGCATGCATACGCGTTTTACTTTATTTCGCAGAAACCGAGACCACTACAAAGAGTCATACTTGATAAATAGGAAGTTAGAAAGGGCTTAATTATTTTCTTTTTCAATTAATATTGAACTTCCTAATTGCAAGTTCTTACACCTCGTTGTTGCTCCTACAGTCATTACTAATAATTGTAGGGATTTGATGTCCCAGAACCAGGATATGATTATGATAAGCGCCGTAGTGGAAGGCTTCGGAAGTTTCGACAATGTGGTGTTCTTTATCGTGCATTGACATTGCACAGCACACCAACCTCAAACATTACGGCTCCATCACCACCGCAGCCGGGTTGGCACCCACGACCTTCAAGTCAGGATCATAGCATGACAGCCACTGATTTATCATTGCGGACAGTCGCTCTAATAGGTGACAATTACATTCAACACATTCAGAGCTAATCCAGAAGGACGCATGAGAGACGACATTACAATTCGCTCGCTTGAAAAACTTTATCTCGAGGAAATAACCTACTTATTTCTTCACAGCGGGCCAGTACCAGTCCTGTCACTTCCATACCAGAAAGGCTGTCTTCTTATCTAAAACGTCAAGTATTGGGACTTTAACACGCACTTCCCTTGCGGGAAATTCCTTCCGCTTCAATAAATTCTCGCACGTCAGTATTTTTGTGCTTTACCAGAACAGCACCTGAATCACGCGTAGCTGTACAACGATTCTCCTGAAATTGCCCTGACAAATGGTCGTAAATATTTCTGTTTGTTACGTTTAACCTGCGTTCGCTTAGCCGAAGGTCAAGACATTTTCCAGTCCTACCTATATACTTTTTAAAACAGGTTGGTGGGATATTATAAACCAGTTCCCGTGCGGAATCCTTAGGAGTTCCCGCTGAGGCGTTGAAATGCCTATATGGGTCAGACGGGAACATGTGTTAACGGTAGACTACGCAAACACAACT